TAACTTTTTCAACTTAATTTTTGAAAATGTTCCGGAAATACTGCGTCCTTTAAACATATATCAAATTAAAGCTTATTTTATGTACTATAAAATGAAAAAAAAAATTTGTCCCGACGATCTATCTTCTATGCGCAAATGGCTACCATATTCAAAAATATGCTATTTTAAAAAAATTTTTTTTTTTAATTTTACACTATCTACAGATTTGCATCGAAGCGTTTTTTATGATAGTGATTTTAATCACTGTCAGATATCATCTATACTGGACCCAACTATGCCACGACCGCACAGTGCCTGTGACCTCACTGTGCTGGGTTTTTTTTTTTTGAAAATATTTTTACAGTAAAATGGTACCAAAAAATTTGGAATATTATACCTTGTTAGTAGAACACACAAATAGCGTAAAAAATAAATAAATCACAAAGTAACAATATTTAACTTTGTAGTTGAAACTTTTTATCATATCAGGCCCAATTCAAAAATATATACTTTAAAAACATTCAATTTTAATGATTTATCTGTCTATCATAGTAAAATTAATACCTTTTTAGTTTCGCATAGAAGATAAAATGTCTAACACCTTCCATCTGAAGAAAAATGTCACTGAATTATTCTGAATATAATTAATTTAATAAAATAGCATTTTTGATATTTATATTAATATTTTAAATATATAAAACATGTCTAAACTTTATTATCAATAAAAAAAAAGACCTAACAAATAGTAAGTGATGAATTATAATCTTAAAATTACTCATCTTAAGGATTTTCAATAATAATATTAAATCTCAACATTTTCATTATTATTGGTATTTTTCTAGAATAATATTAGTAATGAAGAAAAGATGATAGAATATATTAATAAGGTAACATTGCTAATGTTATTATGTTATCAATTTGATTATCTGAATAATTTTTTTCAATATAATAAATAATAAGTACAATTTTGTTCGAGAAAATGAAGGATTATTTTATTATTTCAAAGTCTTATACATTTAGGTCAATTTAAGTGACGAAATCTACATGAATTCGTCATCTACAGAGGTAATATATTACTTAAATATTGTTGACGAGCTATATTCATTATTTATCACACTCTTTTTTTTGTTATCTAATAACAGCCGGCCGGCCATTTGTATAATCGTGATAGTGTATGTTCCACCGTCATAACGAAGACGACGCGCTCCCAGTTTTTTTTAAGTTATTTTTAATGTCAAAATAAATATATATATACATGTTTAAATAGTAATGTATATCAATTTTTTTTGGTTATTGTTTTGATATAAATTTTTTTTTTAAATTAAATGTAAAATTAACCATTTAAAAATATTGAGCGTTCGATTATTAAATTTTAATATCCCGCTCGCCCACATATTTGGTCCTTACGAACACGAATGTTCAAAATTGTACCGTCTAATAATTATTAGCATTAATAGGTGCTATTTTAGTTAATAATAAGTTTAGTTTGTTCGATTTTTAGTTCGAATAGTGTTTCGCGAGTTTGTACGTAATCGATGCGTAGGTGCTATATTTGAACAAAGAAAACGGAATTTCTAGCTATAACAAATATAGCTAATGCGTACAAAGTTTTGTTATCATCCCACAGCTATCAATAATGGCAGAGAAGACAAGCAGCCGAAGAGAGGTGTTAGAGTCTCAGCTAACCTATGTACGACCTATGTCAAACATTTCAACAATGATAGCAATATCGAGCAATTAAAATTAAGAAAGGAAAAGATAGAAAAAAACTGGAGTGAGTTTCAAAAACTACAGTCCGAAATCGAAGATAAGTCTTCGAAACAATATGACGAAGAAAAATAAAAGACAACTTTTAAAATGATTATTTCAAAGCACTTGCTGAATGTACTAGAGTGATGGAAAAATACAACAAGGTAAATCAGCGAGAAAGTGCGACTTGGTCCAACAATTAGCCAATTTACCAGTATCAAGCAACAATGCGGAACCATTCTTGAGATTAGGAAATTATGAAGTATCTAATTTCGACGGTGAATACAAAAATTGGTCCACATTCAGTGACTCATTTTTAGCTTTTATCGACTGGCAGTCATAAATCCCCTACATACAAAAATTATTTTATATTTAAAAAAGGCCTTAAAAGGAAAATCTGCAAAAACAATTCAGTCATTTCTTATGACTGAAAATAATTACAAATTAGCGTGGAAATTTAGTAACAACCGTTTGAATAATGAAAAAATCATAATTCAAACTCGTACAAAAGCTATTTACAATATAGGGCAATTAAAAGAGTCAGCTTCTGAATTACGTCGTTTATTAGATACATTAGCGGAAGAAATGACTATGCTAAAACAACTTGGTACGGAACCAGTAACCTGGGGTTCTATGTTGCTACACATAATTTCAATAAAATTAGATAGCACAACATTGAAGGCGTGGAAAACCGACGCGCTTAAAACAAAAATGCCAACTTTTGATGAATTAGAAGCGATAGAAAGTTCTCAGAGGCTTGCAATTAAAAGTGATAGCGACAAAAAGGAAATGTCATTTATAAAAGATAGAAGGCGTAGGGAACCGGAGTGGCAAAAAAGAACGGCTATGCACGCATCATCGGCAAAATTAAGATGTTATTTATGTGATAAAACTCATGCGTTATACCGCTATCCTCAGTTTCTTACACTATCCATAAAAGATCATCAAGAACAAGTCAAGTAATTAAATATATGTGTTAGGCCGTCATGCTGAAAATACATGAACATTTTTCAACTTTAGAAAATGCAGCGAACGCCATAATACGTTATTGCACGGACAAGCCAGCAACATAGCAACAAGCGCTGCCATAAGTCCTCATGCGATGATCGGTGAAAATTAACAAGTTTTGTTGTCCACATCAATTATTAGAATTTATTAAAAAAACAAGGATTCCTTTTTAACTCGGGTGTTATAAGACTCGGGTAGTCAAATAAATTTGATGACTGTCAAGTTATCTCAAAAATTAAAATTAACTATAAGAAAAATAAATGTAGCTATTTCAGGTGTAAATAATGCTACGAACAAATCGCATTACGCAGTAACAACAACAATAAGAATGAGAGAAACAGAGTATAATAGTATTCAAAAGTTCCTTGTGTTGCCGAAATAAGGACAAGATTACCTGCCGATAATATTGACATAACTTCGAAAATTTAACATAAATTGCCTGATTACGTCAAACTAGCAGACACGTCCTATGTGTTTGCTGGGAAAATAGATATATCAATCGGAGCTGAATGTTTTTATAACATAATTCGTGGCGACAATTACAATGAGAATCCAGGTGTTGTTTAATATGAAACGGACTTAGGCTGGGTAGCTGCTGGTTCCACGCCAATTATGAAAACTTGTACAAATCATTCATTTTTCACAGCAGCAGTTATAATTGAAAATGACTTTAGCTTAAATCAACAAATGGCACAGTTTCGGAAAACGGAAGAAATTATAATTAAACATGTTTTTAGCTTAGAAGAAAAAGCCTGGTTTGATCATTTTGAAAATACAGTTAAACAAAATGATAAGGGTCAATTTTAGCTGCCGATAAAAAACAATTGTAGTAATTTGGGCGAATCAAAGTCAAAAGCAAATACGCAATTTTTATCATCTGAGAAACGATTTTCAAAAAATGAAAATTTTAAAAAGGACTATGTGCAATTCATGCAGAAGTACAAAGAATTACAACATATGCAAGAAGTCCATGATGAAAGTTAAAATAGTTGTCAATAAAAAAATTATTTTATGCCATACCATTCCGTTTTTTGCGATGACAAGGTCACTACGAAAACTCGGGTTGTATTCAACGCATCTAGTCCTTCTAGTAACGTCGTCAGCTTAATGACACTTTAATGTGAAGCCCAGTAATTCAAGAAGATCTAGTGTACATTCTTGTCCGGTTTAGAACACGTCTATGTGGCCTAAAATTCCAAGGAGCTATGACACGTGTGTGAAAGAAAAGAAAATATGGTTGTAGTAGCTAAAAATCAAGAGTCGTCAATAATTGAACGATTTTTGTCACTACCAAAGTTATAAAGAGTAATTTCGTATATAATGCGGTCAAACCGCCGTCTAAATTAAAAGGTACGTCTATTAATGTCAGTGAAACTGAAATAAAGAAAGTGTAAATTAAGCTTATTAAATTAGAGCAGAAAACACATTTTTTCGAAGATATAACATGTTTGCAAAAAAGAGTCATTATTAGTGGTCGCAGTCAAATCTAAAAATTAAATGCGTTTTTACTAAAAAATTTTTAGATGAGCAGCAAATAATACACGTCAATGCCCGGCTAAATAATTCGGTTGTTGAGAGTAGAGACAAAATAAATCCAATACTACTACTGTCAAAGTCCAAGCTAACTAAATTAATTTTCGAAAACGAGCACATAAGATTGCTACACGCTGGACCACTAGCGTTGTTATTGTCTTTACGCAAAAAATACTGCCCGTTGAACAGGTAAAACATTGCCAGATTCATTGTAAACTAGTGCGTCTCTTATTTTTGTTCTAAGCCGTACGTTTACCAGCCTATTATGGGTAATTTTCCAAGCTCACGCATTGATGCATTCGAACGTGCATTTTTTACAACGGGTATAAATTATGCTTTTGATAAAAAGTGGATTTCGAAAAAACTCACCTATGATAAAGGCATACATTTGCTTACGGATTCATTTTTAAGTGCACTAAAAAGATTCTAGGCACGCAGAGGACTGAGTAAATATATTGTTAGGTCAAAACCAAGAATCGGAAGCTACCCGACATCTGCCCAAATATTGTCCTTATCTCCTTAAATGAGTTTTAATTAAATTTAAATTGTAATAGGTATATACAGGTAAGACGGAGTCGGTTGGCTATGATAACAATTCGCGATAGACAAGTCGTTGAATAAAACAAGTTAAGTTATTAATAATATAAATAAGTCGAAAGTAATAGCATTAAAAACTATGTCTATAACGGTCACTCACAACAACGGCCCTTTGTTTGTTCGACGTAGGTAGCTCCGGACAACAGACAAGTAGAATTGTCACATCAGCACCTCCCTCTACGCTAATTAATACAAGGTATTGACCAAATACTCGTTTGTATTACAAATTAAGTAAATGGAAATGAAACGTGTATAATATAAGTGATAAGAACATATTAATAAATGTTCTTACAATATGTATTTAGATAACGCTACAAATATGGTCGGTACTGATGGAAAATTAAAGAAATTAATAGAACTGCATAAGTCCAAGGAACACGTAGTAGCCGTGAACCGCTGTTCTACATCTCTCGGCGTCAAATGGTTCATTATTCCAGCGCGCAGTCCACATTTCGGCAGCCTATGGGAAAGTTCCGTGAAATCCGTTAAAAAACATTTAACAAGTTCGTTTGGTAAGGCTTCATTAAAGTACGAAGAATTATATACCGTTCTTGAGCGAAATGAAGCGTGTTTGAATTCTAGGTCAATAACTCCGCTGTCTACTGATCCGTCTGATTTAAATGCATTATCTGCTGCTCATTTTTTGATCAGAGGTTCTTTGTGAAAAATACCCGAACTGGACATAACAAACATAACTCCTAATCGTCTAAGAAGATAGCAGAGGGTAAAGCAATTGACACAGCAAGTTTGGAATCAATGGCAAACCGAATATTTGTCTACGCAATATTAATTTACTTTTTTAATTATTATTATTATTTTTTTCAAACGTAATTTTCATTATTTGAATTATTTCATTAATAGTTTTTTTTTTATTTTACATGAATAGTAAAATGGTACCCGGTATGTTGACGAGCTATATGTGTTATTTATCACACTCTTTTTTTGTTATCTAATAACAGCCGGCCGGCCTTTTGTATAACCTTGTTAGTGTATGTTCCACCGTCATATCGAAGGCGACGCGCTCCCAGTTTTTTTAAAGTTATTTTTAATATCAAAAATGAATATATATGTTTAAATAGTAATGTATATCAATCTTTTTTGGTTATTGTTTTGATATTAAACATTGTTAAAAATTAAATGTAAAATTAACAATTTAAAAATATTGAGCGTTCTTTAATTAAATTATAATATCCCGGTTGCCTTCACAAATGTAATAAAACCTCTAACATCACACCCCTGAAAAAAATGTATGGTATCACCATTAAATTATGCTATATATAATTAAGTTAAAAAAAAACCCAGCACAGTGGAGTCGCGGCATAGTGGAGACGTTGCATAGTTGGGTCCAGTATAGATTTAATCTGATAGTGTATAATCACTATCATAAGAAACGCTTCGATGCAAATCGAATTTCCCTCGTTCCCCGTAAATTGGGGAAACCTCCAAAAAAATTACAAATTTAAAAATCGCTAATTTTTTCAATTTTTTTTACAAAAAACTGCCGTAACTTTTTCAAAAATGAACAAATCAATATAAATTTTTTTTTATAGATACCATAGGTATTTACTTATCATTTTATATATTTTTGTGAACATTTGACCCTTAACCAGCCCACAGGAAGAGTTTCAAAATGGTAACTTTTTTACTAAAAATTAACTTTTTCAACTTAACTTTTGAAAATGATCCGGAAAGTATAACACTTTTATATATATCTTAAATTAAAGCTTATGTAATATACTTTATTTTGAAAAAAAATTTTGACTTTGTGATGAAAACGTTAAAGAAAAACGTAGGATTTCCGTGAAAAAATTCTCGATTTTATATTTTATATTATTTATTAAATTTATATTGCTATAACTTTTAGAAAAATGTTTGGATCAATAATATTATATTTTATAATGAATTTGTATATACCCCTTTCATCTGACAAACTTTTTTTGTAAATCGAATCATTCCCGTTTTTTTTTGTGGCTTTTTGGTTATAACATTTTTAGTTTTTAATTAATAATATTTTTAATATAGTTTTAATCTAAAAAATAGAATTATTGATTATTCATATTAATATTTGCAATAAATAAAATATCTGTCTAAAGCTTATTAACAATAAAAACAAAAATAGCTTATCAAATATAAGGGATCAATGGCAATCATATAGCTCAGAAGTTTCATTTTTATTTTTATTTTTCTAGGATAATATTATTAACGATGATAATATGAAAGAATACATTGATAAGGTACAGTTACTCTAATGCTATTAAGTTTTTAACTTGATTATCTTTATAACTCTTTACAATAAGTAAAATTTAGTTTGCAAAAATGAAGAAATATTATTAGTTAGTATATGGAGCTCGCAGGACTTATTATATAATTTTTATATTATATATATTTTATATAAATTTTTTACACTGCGGCATGTTGTGAGCCTACCTAGAACTATCATTGGGCAATATTTCATGCTAGTCCGCGCCATGTTGTGACTCATTTCGAAATTTATCACGAGCTGAATCACATTTTGGTGTAGTCTCCTTATTAGTCATTGCTCGGGCTGCACTGCGTGGAGATGGTGGAAGGACTTTGCACATGTTTGGAAATTATAAATCGCAAACAATAAACACACAAATAATCCCTAAAGTGCCGGATAGAACCAGCGCCTCAGGTCCTCCTGTACCGGACAGTGGGGTTGTCAGTCGATTCTTTTCGGCACATAACCGACTCGCCAAACTCTTAGCGAGACGCAATGCCTACTGGCTTCATAACATCAGATCCACCATGAACCCTACTTGGAACATAGACCCTTATTGTGACTCCAAAGAGTCTCGCTCTTCAGACCACGCCTCGCACCAGAAGAGGGTGTATTGAAGAGATGTCTGTCTCTCCCCGGCGATCCTGGCAGTCATCGTAGGTCAGCACGACTGCTTTACGGATATCGTGTAAGTATTTGTTAAAGAAGTCGAGAATGGACATTACTTGCGTGATACGATCACGTCATCTCACCGTAAGTCCGGCCCATACACCACTCCAGGCATTCATGTCTAATGAGGGACTTGGTTCACTAGCCTCTCGATTCCTCCAACAAGAGGAGATTTCATTACCGGAGCATAGTCATCCACCTGAGCGCCAATCGGTTCTCAAGTTCATTATAGATACATTTTTTTCATAATGATAATAAATATAATTATAAGGTGTACAATAAACTTATACATAAAAGTTGTTAGATACACATTAATGTGAGGTGACGCGATATATTTACATTAATATGAAAACACGGGAAGTGAGGGAGAGCAGGTCAGTCGATCACATCATACACGTTTGTGTTTGTCACGACAGGTATGCCGCTGACACAACGCAATTTGTTTTCATTTTTCTGTAGCCGTCTAGTAGTCCGGAGATTCCGCGTTTTTTTTAATATACGCCGCGACCTTCAATGTGTTTTTTCCCATTAAAAAACTACCACCTTCGTAACGGTACGGCGGCGCTGCTGTTTAGACCGGTCCCTGCAACGTATGGCATTGAAAACTAATTCATTCGCGCTCAATTAGTCGGCCGTTTCGGTTATATCGACGCCAGGTTTTTTTGTGTCGAGTATTGCCTTGTCGCCACAGTGTTCAATTTGAGTTCCTCAACGGCTTGTTATATGTTACGGTGTTTTTTTTTTTTTTTGCCTTCCCTGCATCTGAAGTGTGACAATGTTCATCACCTTCAAACGGCAGTGGGTAACTACTAAGAATTTTTTATTGTTTATTTAACGGATTTACAGTCCACATAATATTTTGTATTAGTCATAAAGGGGGATGTATGTTATTTATTTCATTAGTAATTTGTGCTTATTTCATTTATCATTAGCTCTTGTTTGTTATTTTTTTATCGTAACTGAAAATATCATATTGTGATTATTATATATATATATGTTGTTTTTCTTTCTATCTAGTATATTGTAAGGCTCAATTTCCACATTTTTATATTCTCCTTTCCTTCCGCTAAGGCATGGCCAAAATACGTATGGTCAATCGTATTTATTAAACAAACTAAAAGATTACAAAATCGCAAATTGCCGATACTAAAGAATATATAGCCGGCATTGCACAAAAGTGTTAAAAATAATGTTGTTGTATTAACCGGTTTCTCCTTCAACTTCAATACGGAGGTCAAAAGATGAGATTGTAATTATATTGTTCTGCTATGACAAACCAATCACATTAATTGATATCAAATTTATTTTTTATTTACCTATGGAGAATACTAAAGCCTATCATAATAACTCTTTTAAATATTGCCATAATGGGAAAATAAAAGACTAAATAGTTTACAATCAAAGTTGCATATTAAATCGTTGTACACATAAATTTCTGAATTTAAATGTAATTTTAGATTTTTTTAAAATTACAATGTTCAAATTTAACAATGACTTATAATTATTATTTTTACGATTAGTTTGAAAATATGCTATCACAGATTATTAGTAAATACATGATCAAAAATTGCTTAGAGATAGGCACCAATAATAGCTGGGAACACGGCTAACATTTAAATTTCATTATGAACTAGTTTATAACTCACAATTTCCATATCATAAACTAGGTTACATTGGGGAAGCATTAATTAGTCCTACCTCTACCATCACGTGGTGTGACCTGGGCAACGGACCCCCTCCAGGACGCAGCTAAAAATATAAAACCGTTTGTAATTCAGCTCTTGATAAATTTGGGAATGAGTCACAACACAGCGTGGTCCGACCTGAAATATTGTTTAACGACAGTTCTAGGGCATTCCACAAGATGCCGGTAGATAAAAAAAAAAATTATATGCAACCGCTGTCTAATGTAATATTGTAGATTACACCTTTCAGTTTTCTCTTTTTTATGCGTAATAGCAGTCCTGTATTACTTACGTATTAATATTGTATTATTTCAAAGTCATTTATTGTTAGGTCTTATAACTTTTAGATCTTCGTTAATATAAATAAAGCAATTAAAGAGGTATCGATGTCAAAAAAGGTAATATATTACTTAAATATAATAAATTATCTAACACCTTGACTCTGAAAAAAACGTATGGATGCACCAATGAATTATGCTGTATATAATTAAGTTGAGAAAATAACATTATTGATTAATTATTTGCAATAAAAAAAAACCCAGCACAATAGTTGGATAAAGTATAATGATATCTGACAGTGATTAAAATCACTATAAAAAAAAACGCTTCAATTCAAAACTTTAGATAGTGTTNCGCTTCAATTCAAATCTTTAGATAGTGTTTAATTTAAAAAAAATGGTGGATTATTCCAAAAGCTACATGATCTGCTAGTTCCTTATTAATCTCTTGATTAGGATAAAGTATGTCAAATGAAAAAGGGATTATTAAAAAATATTATTTCTCATAAAAAAATTGTGACGATCCATATACTTTTCAATAAGTTAAAGCATTATAAAGTTAAAATTATAAAAAATAAAATCGAGAATTTTTACACAAAAGTAGAATTTGGTTGCCATTTTCACCGTGAAGATAAAATAATGTCCAACATTTTTTTTTGCATAATAAAGAACATTACATTAGCTTTAATTTAAGATATATATAAAAGTGTCAGACCTTCCGGAACATTTTCAAAATTTAAGTTGAAAAAGTTAATTTTTTGTGAAAAAGTTGTCATTTTGAATCCCCCCCTGTAGGCAGGTAAAAAGTCAGATTTATAAAAAAAATATACCAAATGAAAGCTAATGATATCATGCATCTATATAAAAAAAAAATTATATTGATTTGGTTATTTTTAAAAAGTTATAGCAATTTTAAGTAAAAAAAAATTGAAAAAATGTCGAAAATTAGCGATTTTTAAATTTGTAATTTTCTTGGAGGTTTCCCCCATTTACGGAGAATGAGAGAAATTTTTTCAATTTTTGAGGGTAATGTCTTTGACTACATACGATTTGTGAACTTTTGACGTATCAATGAAAGAAATCGGTTCGGTGAGAGCTGAGAAAAAGTGGTAACAGACATACAAAAAAAAAAAAACACATCATAGTAAAACATCTCAGCTTCGCATCGAAGCTAAAAATTATAAGGAGAACAATCAACAATTGTATAACTACCGATTACTAGATGCGCGTGTACTGTGGACGTACAATACAAACTATGACGGTCGCTGTGGAAGGTATGATGACCAAACATGTCACAAACATGTACAAATCGGTTATACACCAGCGCCACGGAATGCGCGAGGAAGGGTATCAACTATTGCCACACTCTACCCAACATCCTATAATTACTGACCCATTAATATAGTAAGTAAAAATTAAACAAGTTAATTTTGAAAAATTTTACAGATAGATCATTATATACCAGGAATACGACCTACAATTTTAAAGGTATTGATATACAGAATAATTGATTTAATATTGACTAACATAATTTCTTCAGATTAAAAACGAATTTTAGAATAATTTTTGATGTTAATTTAATATTATTTAATTAATTATTATTTTTCAATTTATAAATGATTGAATAATTTTTTGATCTATAAAGTAATTAAATAATAAAAATCTATAAGTACTAATATTTTAGTAAAATATATTAAAAATAGTAATTATGAAAAATTTTAAAGGAAGATCAAAATGTACCAGAAATACGATCTACACTTTTAAAGGTAATAATATACAGAATTATTGATTTATCGTTTACCAATACATTTCTCCTAAAATAATAACGATTTTAATAATACTTTATGGTTTAGTTTGGTATTATATNTCAAATAATGTTAAACTATGGTTTAGTTTGGTATTATATATTTCTTGATTTATAATTCATTAAATATTGTTTAGATCCATAAATTAATTAAATAATAAATTCCTACAACTACTAATTTATTATTAGAGTAGATATAAAAAAAAATGTTAACACAATGGAATCGTGGCATAGTTGCACAAATATTGATAACATTTAACAGTGATTAAAATCACTATTATAAGAAACACTTCAATGAAAATCTGTTGATAGTGTTTAATTTTAAGAAATTTATGGATTATTTCAAAATTAACACCAACATCTATTTCCTTAATTATATACTAATTAGTTGTTCTTTCATTTATAACTATAATGTTTTATAATTGTTATTTAATAATTTAGTATTTTTTAAATTTAGTAAATTTTAAAGTAGTTCATAATTTTATGACTAATAAACGGTCCATTTATATACATTTACATTAATTTTCATCAGAGTCAAAAATATATTTTTCTAAATCTATTTTCCGTCTGATTTCAAATATGCAATTAGATTTTTTCTATTACCACTAAATTTAATTTTATTAAAAGATGGGTTCCTAACCTTTTTTCAATAACTTTGGGAAAGATATCAAATAAAAAAAAATTGAACTCAAAAATAGCATATTTTAGCTTCGATGCGAAGCGGAGAAGGTATTAATTTTACTATGATGTGTTTTTCTTTTTGTGTCTGTTGCCACTTTTTCTCAGCTCTCACTGGACCGATTTCTTTCAAAAATACGTCAAAATATCACAAATCGTATCTAGTTGAAGACATTACCCTTAAAAATTGAAAAATTTTTCCTCGTTCCCCGCAAATGGGAAAAATATCCAAAAAAATTACAAATTTAAAAATCTGTAAATTTTGTCATTTTTTTAACTTTTTTTTCTTAAAACTTCCATAACTTTTTCAAAAATCAACAAATCAACATAATTTTTTTTATACTAAAACCTTAGATATTTCCCTTTTATTTGATATCATTTTTTTGAAAATTGAACACTTATTCTGCTCACAAAGGGGATTTAAAATAGCAACTTTTTTACAAAAATTAACTTTTTTAACTTAACTTTTGTAAATGTTCGGGAAATANTGAACACTTATTATGCTCACAAAGGGGATTTAAAATAGCAACTTTTTTACAAAAATTAACTTTTTTAACTTAACTTTTGTAAATGTTCGGGAAATACTGTGTCCTTTAAACATATGTCAAATTAAAGCTTATGTCATGTACTATAAAATTAAAAAAAAAATTTATCCCGACGACCTATCTTCTATGCACAAATAGCTACCATATTCAAAAATATTATAAAATAAATTAAAATTTTGGGTTTTGTATTTTATTTTATTTTAAAATATCTTATTAGGGGTATACACTGACTTTCATGAATATTATATAATTTAATTGACAAAGTATAAAGTTCATAAGACAAGATATTAAACTTATTAAATATTTTTACTTTTTTAAAGTCGAAAAAGTAATTTTTAAATATGAGTTGGCTTATATAGCCATTTTTTTCGTGCAACGAGAGCAACGAACAGTTGCAAAATCGGTGACTCTTGTGTCTTTCACGCTAAAGGTACGAGGTTCGAATCCGTCTCTACCAATTAATATTTTGCATTTTTTTTGAGATAGAATAAAATTTTTAAATCATTTGATATTTGTCTCATTTAGATTCAATAACATCAATAAATATAAAGGAATCCTATCACTATAGTCTCCCTTCGTGAGAAGAAATTTATATTCATGTTAATATTATTTTATTATGTAGTTTTTTTTGTTGCTATAATTTATTTTGCCAACCCTCACTAGACCTACTTTTTTCAAAGATACGTCAAATGATTACAATTCGTATTTAGTTTAAGTTATTACTCTTAAAAATCAAAAAAATATTCTTTATTCAAATAAAAAGTAGCTTAACCAGCTTTTTCCATACAAACAATTAAAATCATTAATTTCTAATATTCTTAAAGTATTTATTTTCGAATTAGATTTGATATGATAAAAGTATTCAACTACAAAAGTAAATAATCTTACTTTGTAATTTATAATTGTAAAAAAGATAATGAGTTATATTAAAGTAATCATATAAATATATATATATATATATGATTAATTTAATATAACTCATTATCTTTTTTACAAATATAATAAAATTTTATAATACGCTCAATTGAGTAAATCTTTTTAGCAACTTTTTTTATTGGTTATTTTAGATATATGATCAGTAAAACTAATTAAATTCTGAATATTTCCAATGTAAAATCTTTTTAAACGCCAAAAGTTAATTAGAAATGATTACTATGATTTTTATTTAAGTTATCTATTACGATAAAAATGTAAAAAAAAATCGAACTTTTCTGATAAATGTACTGTAAATAGTAATTATAAAATTTCCTAATTGCATATTAATCTTAACAGTTTCTTTTTTTTCTATTTAATAATGTCAATTTCAAACTTGCAAGTTGAGCTAAAAGTTATGGTAATAAATTCATTTTTTTTTTTTAATAAAACTTTCACTTTAAAAGACAATAAAAAGTAGGTTCAAAATTATTAATTTTAACATATTAAAAATCAAAATCAATTATAATTTGAAAACAATTAATTTTAAAAATTATATAACATATAATTAAAAGAATTACTAATCTGTATATAATTAAGGAAATAGAAGTTGATGTTGCTTTTGTCCATAAATTTTTTAGAATTTTTTAAACACTATCTACAGATTTGCATCAAAGCGTTTCTTATGATAGTGATTTTAATCACTGTCAGATTAAATCTATACTGGGCCCAACTATGCAACGTCTCCACTATGCCACGACTCCACTGTGCTGGGTTTTTTTTTAACTACAACAGTCATTTCAAAAGTTAAATTGAAAAAGTTATACTTATTATAAGTATGTAACAAGTTTTGAACGCCTCCTGTATAAGGGAAAATTGTCCGATACAAAAATAATGTATGTCAAAAAAAGGGGTGTATATAAATTATTCAGAAACGAATAATTGTGTTGATCCACACATTTTTCAAAAAGTTATATTAATTTAAAGTTAAAAATATGAAATAGTAAATCAAAAAAATTAACGCAAAAATACTATGTTTTTAACAACGGCAGATATTTGTAAATAGAAGATAAATCGTAGGGACAATTTATATTTTTAATTTATAATAAATAACATTTAATTTTATATATGTTTAATTAATGCAGTGTTTCTGGAACATTATAAAAAATAAATTAAAAACCCAGCACAGGGTGGTCGCGGCACAGTGGTGACGTGGTATAGATGGATCAAGTATAATGATATCTGACAGTGATTAAAATCACTATCATAAAAAACGCTTCGATGCAAATCTTTAGATAGTGTTTAATTTTAAAAAATTGGTGGATTATTCCAAAAGCTTCATAAACTGCTAGTTCCTTATTAATATCCTGATTAAGATAAAGTATGTCGAATGAAAAAGGGATTATTAAAAAATAGTATTTCGCAAAAAAAAAAAATATATAGATCAATACACTTTTCAATAAGTTATAACTTTATAAAGTTAAAAATGTAAAAAGTAAAATTGAGAATTTTCACACAATAATAGCATTTGGTAGCCATTTTCACTGTGAAGACAAAACAAAGTCTGAAATTTTTTTTTTCATAATAAAGTACATTACATTAGCTTTAATTTAATATATATAGAAAAGTGTCAGACTTTCCGGAACACTTTCAAAATTTAAGTTGAAAAAGTGAATTTTTTGTGAAAAAGTTGTCATTTTGAATCCCCCCTGTAGACAGGTAAAAAGTCAGATTTATAAAAAAAACTATACCAAATGATAGGTAAAGACATTATGCATCAATAAAAAAAAAGAATTATATTGATCCATAGATCTTTCGAAAAGTTATAGCATTATAAAGTTAAAAATATAAAAAAGAATTTTTTTACAAAAATCGTATTTTTTTTATTAAGTTTAATGTCTGTTTTCACCATGAAGATAAAATAAAGTCCGAAATTTTTTTTTACCATTATAAAGTATATTACATTAGCTTTAATTTAAGATATATATAAAAGTGTCAGACCTTCCGGAACACTTTCAAAAGTTTAGTTGAAAAAGTTCTACTTTCTATATACATTTTTTTATTTGAAGCCCCCCCATATATAGGGAAATAGTCTGATTTAAAAAAAAAGTATATTCAATGAAAGATGTATATAAATACTACTTCTCGTGAAAAAATTGTATTGATTCATACAAATTTTTTTTTTCATAATAAAGCATATAAATTTATGAAAAAATTTACCAAATGAAAGGTAATGATATTATGCATCTATATAAAAAAGAGTTATATTGATACGTTCATTTTTGAAAAAGTTATGGCACTATTAAGTAAAAAAAATTGAAAAATTTTTGAAAATTAGCGATTTTTAAATTTGTAATTTTTTTGGAGGTTTCCCCCATTTACGGGGAACGAGGGAAATTTTTTCAATTTTGAAGGGTAATGTCTTCGACTAGATACGATTTGTGATCTTTTGACGTATCGTTGAAAGAAATCCGTTCGATGAGAGCTAAGAAAAAGTGGTATCAGACAAAAAAAAAAAAAAAAAAAACACACATCATAGTAAAACCAATACCTTCTCAGCTTCGCATCGAAGCTAAAAAAGTGCTGTTTTGAATTTGCCCCAGATAAAAATGTCTTGTGGGCAGGTGAAGGTTTAGGTTTTAAAAAAAATTATATCAAATGAAAGATAAGTACCTAAGGTGTCAATATAAAAACATTTCATTGTAAAATAATTGTAATAGTTTCAATTGTAAAAATAAGAATTACGATAAGAATAACTATACAGAACGCCTATACTGCCGTGTCAGAGGTACTAGGCACCCTCAAACCTAAAAAGAGTACCCCCAGA